TAGCATTTTTCACTGAGAGTTTGCCAGTTTATGACACTGCCTTGATGCCTTGGCCAAGTAAGATGAAGCCGTCTCACTTTCCACAGTGCACTTTCTCTGGAGCAGTCAAGAGGCATTTTTGATTACTTTAGTGCTTCTTGAGAGTTCAAAATAGAGTGTGTGAGAGTGTGAGCCATGTAGCTGCGGATCATTGGCCCAGCGTCTCTAATTACCTCGACCCGGTAAAATCATTTCAGCCGCTGGCAGTCCGACAACCCGCTGCAGGGGGGAGGAGAGGGGAGGTACCGGCTGGGGGGGAGGCAGATCAGACCAGAAGGACTATAGCAGAGAGATAATGCTGCTGTGTGCAGGGTTGGGAGGGGTGCTTTAAACATGTACTCAGTAACAATTACAAGTTACTAGTTACCTGTACAAAAATGTAATTAGAAACCTAATCTAAGTATCACAATATAAATGTAATGTAACGTCATTACTTTCCGCTTTTGGATTACCTGCATACTAAATGCAATGCACATAAATAAAAGAGAAAATAAATATCAATAAGATGTTTTTTAATTAAGTCTATTATGTAAGACAACAGAACAATTTGTGTGACCAAGATGTTCAGGTTCAGAAATGTGTCCTCTGCTCAGAGATTGTATTGATAGGAAAACCTGCCTTTCATTCAGCATATTCAGGCAGTAATACACCAGCAATCAGAAAATGCTCCGTTTTAGTTGAATACACACAGTTAAGCTCACACACACTATTTTATGAACATATAGGTTCACCTGCTGAATTAAAAACAGAACAAATGAAGCAAAGAAAGTGAAAACCATAAAGCAGATTCAGGAAATAGGTGTATAGATTCACACTTAAAGTATTAGCCTACAGAACAGAACAGCTTAAAGGTGGGGTAGGTCATTTTGGAGAAACCAGCTCGAGTGCGCTAGAATTTGAAAATACACAACCGGAAAAAATCTGCCACTTCCTTACAGAGCCCCTCCTCCAACACACACGAACGCGCACATGACCAATGAGGGCACGAGATAAGTTTGTGCACAGATGGAAGGCTGACAGGCAGGTAGGCCATCCAGTTATTTTAGCCGGGTCGGCTAAAATGATTGCCACAGATGACATTTTTTTTATGGATTTTTTGTCAAAGCACTTAAGATATTCATTGCTATCGGGATGTTAAGAGCATTCCATGGAATATAACAAAAAGTGTTTCTGAAATAAATTACATACCCCACCTTTAAAAATGCTGCTTTTAGTTTTCTACATGTTAATTTTTTTTTTTTTGTTAAGTTGTCCAACAGATAAGGCATCAATATATTGCATACAAAAATAAGTGAAGAACCCATTTCCATTTGAAAATGTATTGTAACATTGTAATCATGCAAGTCATTTCTTTGTTAGGATTACAGTTCCTTTTGTTGTAATCTAATGACATAATCCCTTTACATGAGCTCTGTTACTCCCCAAGTCTGGTTGTGTGAATCTTTGTCTCTACTTGAATATCTATTTCATTTGATTGCACTCAAGTTCTTTTGTCTTTAAAGGTTTTAGCATTAAGATGATACTGCTTTCCCCCCCTTTTTTCCCACAATTACTGATATTTAGTCTGAACTCTTCATACTTAAATGTATTGTGGAAACGTTAAAAACACCTCTAATACCCCTTTCACACCAACGGTGTTTCAGGGCCGGTTCGGTGCTGGTGCTTGAAAAGCACCGGGTTTTCCTGTTCACACCGCAGCGGAGCAGCGTCATAGCTCCGGAATCCGGTTCGTTTCGAGCACCAAAAAGTTGTCCGTCTAGAAGCAAGAACCGCATACGTCACGCTTACGTCGGAGGGGGGCGAGATTAACCTGAGCTAACACTTAAGGCGAGTACGGCAAATAAAAGTTGTAACAAGCAGTAGTGCTGAGCAAAGTGACTAGAACGCAACCACACACTTGTTAAAAAAAAACACACTTTATAAAGTCAGGCAACACTAACCAGGCTTCGTGTGATTCTGTTTATTTGTACCTTACTTTGACCATCCGTTCGCTGTTATTGATCATTGTGGAGAGCAGGCAGACGTTTGTTATTATAGCAGCTATCGGATGGAATCAATACATGGGCTGCACAGGTTGTCATGTCCGACTATCACAAGTAGAATCATAATGAAAAATACGTCGGTAAAAAGTGCCTGTAGAAAACTGCTTAGCAAGTAGTCAGTTTAGCTTCGGTTGCTATGCTAACATCACCCATGTTATACCAGAGAAACTTTCATAACAGCGTTGTGATGCCAAACAGCGTCAATTCAGACTGACACCAAACAGCGTCAATTCAGACTGACACACATTCACTTAAGGGGAACTGGGGATATGTATCAGCTGCTTGTGTGACAGTCAGACAGTGAATACTTTAGAGCCGTGTCAGCTAACCCGGAGCTAACGGGAGAATACACTCCCGTGGAAGAGCAGCCAGCACTGCAGCGGTCGGTAAATGCCGCTGAAACACATTAATAAACAATGAACCACGGCACTCTGGAGAAAAGTATAAGGTTGGAGAAGTCGTTATTTAATTTAATCTGGCTTCGTATGATTAAAAGCAACGCAGTCCCCGGCCCGTTGTTGTTGTGAAGTGAGCTCCGGCGTTGGGGAGAAACTCAGCGACGTAAACGGTGACGTCATGACGCAGCAGCGGCAGCACCAGTCGGGCTCTGAGCGGTGTGAAAAGAGCCGGCGCTAAACCGAAGAACCGGTTCTGAACCAGAAAAGCTCTAGCACGGAGCTTGAACCGGAGTTGCGTTGGTGTGAAAGGGGCATAAATAAAACTGATTGCAGTTCTATAGCACCAAAAAACACATTCAAATGGACCACAATAGTGAATCAGCACTAAACAAAGACTGCTCATTAAAGCCTTCATGAAGAATTTAGTCTAAGCTGCATGTACCTTAACTTCCCATTTCTTCAATCCTCACACCTTCAGTTTGTTAAGCAGGTATGACATCTTCAGTTGCATTTTTCAGACAATTGAAAGCATTTTCTAGAGATTCACAAGAAATGTTTTACTGGATAGGACTCATCTTAACAAGTAAATAAACGTTATGTGTGAATTCAAATAAGGAAGTAACAGTATCTACATTTGGTTCATTTATTACTCCATAGTTCAAACAGGCCAATGACGCGGTGTATGGTAAATCTTTCAGACTAAGCCTTGGTCTTCCTGTCTGATGTGTGCGGTACACTCAGTCGTCTCCTGAGAGCTGTGACGCTCAGTGTCCCTCTCTGATCACTGCACAGTTTCCCGCTGCTCATTCAGATGGTATCCAGAGCAGAGCTGTCAGTGTCGCCCGGCAACACTGATGTGAGATCACACCTCTAGTTTATTTCCTGTGGTCCAAGCCACAGTGGAGAATGACACTATGCACATCTTTGTGTTGAATGGCTCAATTAGCAATTCATCTGAACGCATCACTGACATGTTTACTGTCAATCATATTCGAGCCTTCTTCAGTTGTGAAATGATATATGCAAACAGTATATTCAGTCATTGCTTGATTATAGCCTACTTTCTCTGCCAGTTATAAATATATAAAGATACAAATTAAAATGAGCTTTAGTCCCAACATCCTCCAACACACCCTCACTCCCAACCCGTAATACACTCACTCAATAAGGAACGCTTTTGTCCTGGGTAGTCCTTGAGACTTCAACATGTAGATAAAGATATCAATTCAAATTAAACTACTTGGTTAGCTTTATTCTGGTAAAAAATAAGTATGTTTGTAGAAACGTTAATTAAATCTGTTAGTTGAGTATGTGACGTAAGTTAACATTGGACACATTGGATTCACAGAGGTAACAGACCCCAGTCTCCAGGGGGAAGGTTTGTATTCACCCATCGACTGCAGAGTTCTCACAGACTTTGTCTTCCTTTAATCCTTTACTGCCATCATAAATACTACAACCACTAGAACATTTCCTAATGCAGAATGAAGCAATAGGGGTAGATGGAGCGTCCCAGTTTGATATTAGGGACACTTTTATTAGTAAACAGGTTTTTAGTACAGACCTGTTGGAGCCTCTTCATGTCATCTTTATTATGCTAGGCTTTCCGAGCATTACCTGTCAATGTCCAGCCTCTTATAGTCATATTCTGCCTTAGGTCTATATTCCATTGCTTTTCCAAACAAACCAAAAAGCATTTTGACAGAAGCAAGACTTGCATTTGAAGACATCTGTTTTATTTAAGTTTGAATGGCATTATTCTCCCCTAGGGCAGAGCATTTGACACAGACTAAAGAAGTAAACACTTTCTTTCTGACTTTTGGTTATTTGTTATACTGTAAACCACATTGAGTGTTTTTATACCATGACTTGTTATTGCATACTATACTATGACGTTTTGTCATGTTATACTATATTGTATATATCATTTTGAGAACTTTTTTTTTACATACTTTACTGTTATACGTGACATTTCTGTGGCTAACTATAAAATAACTTTCTGTTACATACGTTACCATATCACTCTTTTAGGACATTCCATAGTAGTAAATTATTTGTTATCAAACTATACTGCCACTTTATATGATGACATTTTGTGGCATATACCATGATGCTTTATGTCATTTTTTATGACATACTATACTATGACTTTTTATAACTGGATATTTGTATGGTATTTTTTATAAAATACTATGCTTTTTTAAGTATTTTGATGACATAGTATAGTACTGACTTTATTGTGAGAATGTTATGTCTTACTGTAGTATCCCATTTTTTATTATTATTGATTGGAAACTATAATATTCATTTCTATGATATTATGTATGACATTTGTTGCATAATATTTGATGATTTTGATATTTTTAATGATGAACAATTCTTTTTTATATTGCTTTTTTATGACATATAATTGTCTTCATTATCTTCTTTCTCTGGTGATAAATTCAAACATGTCAGAAACAGAAGTGTAACCATCTTTTAAGCTGTCACTTTCCTGTGTCTCTTCTCATTTCTCTCTCAGTCCACCCTTCAAAGAAGAACCGTCAGACGTGCGTGAGGAAGAGCCTGATCTGCGCCTTCGCCATGGCGTTCATCATCAGCGTGATGCTCATCGCAGCCAACCAGATGCTGAGGAACGGCATGGAGTAGCTCCGCCCAATGAGCAGGGAGCAGCCTGCATGTGCATGCCAGGCGGTGAGATCATATCCCTGCTGATAGGAAAATAACTAAAGGAAGAACACGAATCATCGAGAAAATACATTTTTGAATGTTTTCTTCGTTTTTTTTCGAACAAGTGGCACCTCTCCACCTGAAGCCAGCATGAGGAGTCATGGAGGCTCCTCCCCCTTTACTCTGACAGGGACACTCAAGGGCTGACATTACACATAATACTCTGTCGTGTATGTTTCCTTGATGCAATAAAAAAAAGTAACAAAAAAAGAAGCTTGAGTGCAGGAGTTCAGAGCTGCAGATCTGTCACCCAGCAGGAGTCTGATGAGCCACCAGGACTGAAATGGAACCACGGAAAGGGAAGAATAGTTATTTTCTTATGCTTCCTGGAAGTATAATGATAGACCCGGCCGCCACTCAAGCAGAAAGAGCCGTACGTCACAGTTCACAGTGCTCCAGCTCTCCAACCTTCTATTTCCATCTCCATCTCCTGCGTCTGTGGCTGGTATAAAGTGCTGGCATCAGATCATCCACCCACACCAAGCAGTCAAGCGTGCAGTCAAAATGTTGAATGGTAACTCCTGGCCTGTGTTTTGGCCCTGTGATATTCATTTTAGAACACACTAGCTCAGAAACGTGGTTTTTAGATCTCCTCCTTCACTGTTGGTTGAACACTGTTAAGGTGCTAAGAAAAGTTGTCTTTGTCCTGTTCAAATAAAAGATCCACCCTTTCATATGAAAGGGTAGGTCTTTTATTTTACCTGGATAACACGCTGGAATTATGGAAGGAAGTTGGGTTCAAACTTGGTAATATGAAAACATGCAGTTTGTAAATGCTGTAAGGTTTACAGATAGGTGTACAGTATATATACTGTAGATGTAAGGGTGGATTTTTTCCATTCAAATCTATACAGTATGTCATGTTAAAATGAAAAGGAATTATAATTTATCCATCTATGACCCTATCACTGTTGCACATTTTATTAATTTGAATCCATCATTTAAATTAAGTCTGCAAAGATCTATATATGAACAAAAAAATATATTTAGCATTCAACATTTTTTCATTTTTTAATTGTCCCTATTGTGTGAAGACCACAGATAAAGAACTGTGAATCACAACAATTTCTGTAAAATAAGGGTCTTGTCAAACTTTGAGTGACTTCCTAACAGGTTGATTCTGACTGAGGTGTGCTCTAAACTCCTGCTCTGACATCATCACGTCACATGTATGTACAAACACCTGTTATCAAGTGCATGAGATCAAGTACGCGTCTTTTGTAAATACACTGTCTGGTTCTGCTGTGTGTGTGTGTGTGTGTGTGTGTGTGTGTGTGTGTGTGTGTGTGTGTGTGTGTGTGTGTGTGTGTGTGTGTGTGGTGTGTGTGTGTGTGTGTGTGTGTGTGTGTGTGTGTGTGTGTGTGTGTGTGTGTGCGCCTGCCTGTCGGTGCTCTCTGCTCTCTCGGGTTCAGAGAGGGGAGGGGGACCAGCAGAGAGAGAGGTGGCTGCCCCATTACAAACAGGTCAGGAGGTGAAGACCCCCTCTTCCCCCCCCCCCCTCAACCCTCTTGCCAAAGCCATAGAACTCTGCAGAGGTGACCCAGACACAATATAGACTCTTTAACGTGTTCCAATGTGGAAACACAGGATCAACCTGGCATTGTTTGGCAGAAACATGTCTGTCCTGTTACATTTGATCTGTTCCTGTAATGTGTTTGCACTGTACCTGACATCCATTCCAGGGCAATGATGAAGAGGGTAGGGTGGTGAAAGACTGCCATCTAGAGGGGAAGTGAGATGTGTAGCTGAAAGCACTTTGGCAAAGCCAGGCTTTATATTCACAATGTCTGACAACTGTTGATGTTAAATGTTAAAATATGAGGATTTTTATGTATGTACGTAAATGTTGACTTTGATCTATCAACACTGTGGGTAGAGCATTACTTGTATTTGAAACAGAATATATATATATTCTTGCCTATGGAAGAAAAATCACAAATAAATGACTAATATTACATTTTGAAGACTGAGTAAAGAGCACTTTGTGCAAAGACAGTCTACATATCACTGTAGGTCACACTGGTTTGGGCCTTTTTTATATATGAAAAGGTAACACTGATTCAAATGTAATATTATTGTTTTAAATCTGTCAATTTTGCAGCAGTGGTGAAAATGTCCCGCCAAATTCACAGCTAGTCACTGCTAGCATGTTAACTAGAAAAACATTCATTTTTCTTTGAAAAAAAGCATTGTAATGTAGATTTCATTTGTATTTGTTTTTGTGTTTTATTTGAGTTAATGTTACTGTAAACTGTCCTCGCCCCTGCAGGACAGTTGCATGTGTAAAGGCTTTTATTTTGGAGGGGAAACGCACAGTGTCTCTTCAGTAGCATGGTGTTATCGTTATGTGACTTTGTACATAGCTAATAACATAGCATATGTATTAGACAAGCACACCCTATACATACTTTGCATGTGTAATATTTAAACATGTAGACTATAGAAATACTTTCAGTTGTACTATTTATTAGAGGCATATTAATTATGTGATTGTAAATATGGAGATCTGTACAAAAGTCAAATGATTAAACATTGATGCAATAAAACTGTGTTTTTTTAAATAGTGCTTTATGGTTTATTTTACTGTGTGGTCATTAGCAGCCATGATCTATTCCAGGGGGTCTGCAGGGTCTTAAAGGTATTCAAATAATGAATCAAATTAGATCTCAGTATGTATTTTTCCAAAGAGTACGCTGACAATCTTGGCTATAGGCTACTATCACTTGTTATGACTTTTTGAAGCCATACTTGACTTTTTAAAAGATATATTTAATTAAGATTTTTCTTTTTTCAATGTTATACCTTACCATTGCCTATACTTTATTATGAAATCTATTATGGCTTTTTGAATTCCGCTCACTCCATTGAGTTGACTTAATGTAATAATATAACTTTTCAATTGCTTTATATATATTAATGCAAACTATAACAAAACAGATTTCTTGACATTTTTATAACAAATTGTTGCATGCTTTACTTTGATGTTTGAATGTCATTTCTATTGTCCTATTATTACTTTATTTGGTTTTTCTATTGATAGTAAACTATTACTTTTGTATGGATTCTGTTAGACATTTGAATGGCTTAGTATTCTATATATATATGTTTTTTTCTAACCTTTTTAATAGTTATTTTTATTTGTACCAATATTTATTCTGTATACCACATTGACTTTTGTATACTAACTATACCATTACTTTTTATAACATTTTATGACATACTAAACTATTACGTCTTTATGTTAAACCAAAAAATAATGTCATACTATACTTTAACAATATGTTTTCAGATTATATTTGACATACTATTTTGTGAGTTTTGTTTCGCATTTTCGGCGTATTTAACTACTTCCTTGTAGTTATTTATTTGTTATGACTTATTTGACATGCTTTACAATTTCATTTTTTTCATTTTCAACATAGTACACTAAGTAGTTTCTTTATTATGACATACTAGACTTGTATATACTATAGGTAAATCATTTTTGGGGCTATTTTATAGCATAATATATCATGAATGTTATACTGTACTATATTTTGTTATAACTTTTAATTGGAAAATATATTCTATTTTTTATAATTTATGACATGATATAATATCACACTCTAGTATGAGTTTTATACTATCTTAATATACTATTACATTTGTATGGCATACTTTAATATAACAAACACATAATAAACAGTATGTCATCAAAAGTAATATTATTACTTTTGATGACATACTGTTTATTATGAATGTTTACAACATTTGTATGGAATTCAACCAGCAAGTTGTGTTGCAATATTATACTATGATTTTTTAAATGACTTTTTCTACCATACTATATTATGATTTATTATGCCATACTACACTATTACATTTCTTATACATACTAAACCAGGGGGTCTCAATGTTTTGATAACTGGATCCCAATGTAGGGGCCAGGAAACAGGCAACTGTGATAGTTAAAGGAGGAGTTACAGGACTATATTATATTGAGTGTTTTTTTAAATTGATATCCTTCACATCAACATATAGGTTATAGTTTCATCAGACTGTGTACCATCACAGTAGCCAGAGTGTGTGTTATACAGTGCATCCGGAAAGTATTCATACCCCTTCACTTTTTCCACATTTCGTTATGTTACAGCCTTATTTCAAAATTGATTAAATTCATTTATTTTCTCAACATTCTACACACAATACCCCATAATGACAAAGTGAAAAAAGTTTTTAAAGAATATTTGCAAATTAATTAAAAACTCCCAAGTGGACTCCAATCAAGTTATTGAAACATCTCAAGGATGATCAGTGGAAACGGGATGCACCTGAGCTCAATTTTCAGTGTCATAACAAAGGGTGTGAATACTTATGTACATGTGATATTTCATTGTATTATTTTTAACACATTTGCAAACAATTATTTTAAAACGTTTTCACTGTTGAGAATTTTGAAATAAGGCTGTAAAATAACAAAATGTCAAAAACGTTAAGGGGTATGAATACTTCCCGGATGCACTGTACATATGTGAGCTCAGTTAACACGGGGGGCATCAGGCGCTGATATCTGAACAGAAGGGCTGACCCTGATACACTGACACTGTGATGTCATTTCATCAATACTAAAACATACAGGCGATGCATAGTTGAAATTATTAACACTTTTCAATCAAAGACACATTTTAATTTGTTTTTTAAAAGGCGACGCTCGGAAGTATAATCTCAAAGTGTATACAAAATCACTTAATACATGAAACACATGATGGAAAATATCTGGAAATGTTGTCATTATTAGACATGTTCATGGTGCTGCAATAGACAATTATTTATCTTTGTTTCATAAGTCATTTGTTTAAAGTTTGATTTTTGTTTGATGCAGGTTATTTATTTTATTTACTGCATCAACGTTATTAGACGTTTTTGGACAACTTATTTGAGCCATCATTGTTTGAAATGAATATTGTACAATAACATTTAAAAATATATATATATTATCATATAGTATCATCTCTGGAAATGTGCTGGTAGCAGCAGAGTGAGTTATAGCCAATTATACTACTTCAACACACCACACTAATACTTTCCAACATATAAATATTGTTTTTATCTGATATTTTAGACATCATTTACAATGACTTTTTTTAAATGCGATACTATTTCCTTTTTTTTCTGATATTTGATACTTTGTTATAAAATATAACAAAGTATATTTTACCCCTAACCCTAACCCTAATAGTCCGGGAGCCAAAGCCTGATTTTTGGATGAACCTTGTTTCGTCTGATAAAGTATTTTTGTTCTGCTGTATCTTGTAGCTTGGAGGTACCTCTTCAAAATACAGGAGGCTGCCCGGTGATATCCCTTGAGCATTTTTGGATATTAACCCCTTCATGGCCAAAATCCCAGAAACAATGCAAGAGAGAGTAAATGAAGCCTCACTCAGAGTGGCCTGGGTTTTGGGCAAGCACAAAAAGCCCTTTTCTGATTCAGAAGTAGTGAAGGAGTGCATGACTGAAGTAACTGAGGCTTTGTTGGAGGGTAAGGAGAAACAGGAGATGTCTGAGAAAATTAAGCAGGTACCCTTATCAAACTCCACTACAACCAGGAGAACTGAATTACTTGCTAAAGATCTGGTGACACAGCTGACGGATGACATCAAAAATGCAGAGTGCATTTCATTGGCTGTTGATGAATCAACTGACAGCACTGACAACGCCCAGCTAAGCGTCTTCGTTAGGTATTACAGTGAGGCAAAGGGAACATTTTGTGAGGACATATTAGGCCTCAAAACCCTCCATGGCCACACCAGGGGAGAGGACATTTATGAAGCCATCATGCAGATGCTGAATGAAATGGGAATTGACCGCAAGACTGTGGTGTCCATTGCAACTGATGGAGCTCCAGCCATGATTGGGAGAGAAAAGGGAGCTGTTCAGCGCCTGAAAGAGCACCATCCAGACCTGCTGTCATACCACTGCATCATTCACCAGTCAGTGCTGTGTTCCAATCTTGGAAAAGAATACTCAGATGTCATGGAGACAATTACATTATGAAGCGTGTGAACTACCTGAGAGCCTCCGAAGCCCTTCAGCACCGCCTTTTGCGTGCATTTCTGACAGAGGTAAGTGTATTACTCTTGATTGTATGATGGCCAGTCATCTGTATTAAACAGACTGAGGTTTACTTTGTTAAAATAAGGAGTAGTTGACATTTGGCTAAATCAAAAATGAAAACATATATTATTTTTAGTTCATAGT